ATTGGGTCTAAGGTCCTCACCAACAAATTCAGAACTTCTTTACTTATAAGAACCATAAGAGTGTGTTTTCCGAACTGCCGTACATTCGTAATCACCATTAGATTCATCCAGCTCTTTCCGTATCACGTGCACTGTCCTCAGATTGACAACAAACACACTGAAATGTTCATATGAGAAATTCCGGCGCGAATGCCAAGCAGTACAGTATGCCGTTTCCAAATTTCTGTAAATTGCATCATGGTGCTCTTTTCTTCGCAGAGGTTGCCCAATTGACTCTATGTTGCATTTCGTGTTTTCGTGATAACTGCGGAAAATAAATATGGAAGACAAACTCGTAGGTAAGTAATGAAATAGAAAGTTTACTCCACGAAGGTAAATTGACCTAATGCTAGCTTGGTATTTACCCGTGTCCTCCCAACAAGGATTTCCGAGACAGTAGGCTCGGGCAAAAATTCTCCGTAGACCCTGTATTCACGCGGTTCGGTTTGTCTATCTCCCCAGATGACACTCTACCCTTCGGCAATGTCTCATCTGCGTTCCTCTCTGCTCGAAAGCAGAGAGTTCAACATGTCAATCTTGATAAATGATAACGATGGGCAAATTGTCACCATTTCATATTTTTTTCCTTCTAAAGCATCTACTTCTAGACGTCTAACAACTCCACATAAACACTGAAATATTTTCTTTCTCTCTTAAAGAATAATAAGAACTAGCAGTAGAGCCCGGCGTTGCCCGGGGATGTAACAGTAAGAGACAGATCAAGCATCGACCATCATAAAGACTGAAAAAATAAAATTGACAAAGATTATTGTTTAAGGTTGATGGACACGCATGTCTTAATTAGTTTTTTTTTTTTTTACGAATTGGACAAACCCAAACTCAAGCAAAACATTGTTTTCAATCGTTATGAGTCTATCGATTCAATATAATTTTATTATAAACGATTGTCATGTAAATGGAATTTTTAAAGCAGTCTGAATGTCAAAATAATGAAAAAAGTGTGCAAGACAATAAGAAACACTACCTGCCAAAAAGAAAAGTTTTGTTGAGATCGGTTGAAAAATGTAGGAAATCCGATCCCATATATAAACGAACACACACACACACACAAACAACCTGGGTTTTATAAGTATAACTCGATACGAGTTGTCCCCCTTTCGAAAGAGCGATGCCTCTTAATGGTGTTTTCAAATTGATTTCATGCAAAAACAATTGTGTTTTTCCAATTTTTGGCGCTGTCAGAACTACCGCAAGGTAATTTTGCGTAGTCCTGTGAAGTTTTGTTGAAATCGGTTGAAAAATGTAGGAAATCCGATCATATATATAAACGAACAGACACACACACACACACACACACAACCTGGGTTTTATAATGAGTATGATTTTCCTCAATGGGAGTAGATAGGTTTGCCTATTGTCCTGTTCACGATCTTTATAAAAGGAATAGATGTTTATCCCTTGTTTCTTGTTTAATTTTCTGCTTCCTTGTAAAATATGCATCAGCTTTATTCCTCTAACGTCTCCACCTAAACTGTGAAATTTTATTTACTATATTTCTTCAATAGGAATTGATAGGTTCTGCGATCGCTCGGGTCACAGCCCTCCCTGATCTTTTGAATATGAATAGAGGTTTTTACCTTGTTTCCTGTTTAGGATTGATTTTCCGGATCCTTCTAAAGTCTACTTCAACTTTATACTTCTAACGCCTCCACATAAACGCTGAAATTTTACTGACTATTCTTTCCCTGTTTAGAAGAAAAGTTCGCTTATTGTCCGGCTCATACCCCTCCCCGGTTTTTTGGACAATAGTAGAGGTTTATCCTTTGTTTCATGTTTAGAACTGAATTTTTTGTTTATTCTAAAGTCTACTTCCAATAAATACTTCTAAAGTCTTCACTTAAACACTGCAATTTTACTGACTATTTTTCTCGCAATAAGAGTAGACAGGTTCGCCTATCGTTCGAGTCAGACACCGCCCCGGTCTTTTGAACAGGAGTACAGTTTTATCAGTTGTTATCTGTTTAGGACGGAGTTTTCGGTTTCATCCAAAGTCTACTTTAACTCTATACATCTAACACCTCTCCGTAAACACTGAAATTTTATTTACTAACTTTTCCCACAATTGGAGCAGATAGGTTGGTCAATCACACGGTTAGCAAACTTCCCCGGTCTTTTGAAAACGAATAGAAGTTTATCCCTTGTTTCCTGTTCAGGATTTTTTTCTATCTTTGCGTCTTAGTGGCATTATCGCCTTGCTTGGGTTGAATTAATTTTATAAAAAAAAACAACTTTGATTGGACAAAAAAACTTTGAACGTATTTTATACAAAACTTTTGAAATCTTTATTTCGCATCTGTATGTCTGGTTGTGGGTGAATGCACCACGAACCTAGCTGCTTTTTGCTAAATCGCAGACTTCCTTTTCTACTGGGAAAGGAAGTTTAATTGAATGATTTCTAAGAAGAAACCCTGAAAGAATTAATGACAAGATTTCGGAGAAGAATCTTCATTTCCTTACAAATGATTTTTCTAAGAAATAGAATTAATTCACAACTACAATTAGTCTGTTAACAAATTCGATATATTCCACTGCTGAAGCAAGTGACTGGACAGCGTCAAGGTTGACAAGAGATGTAGCAGCATAATTATTTTGTTTTATATATATTGTGTGAGTAGATGATGCGTTCTTCCATGAGACGTGATCTCACGGGACATGGCCGATAATGTGTCTTCGTACCGTCTAATCATTTGTAGATCTCTGAAATGTTTTTATGTTAATATCTTGTGGTAAAATAGGTTTATGGCAGCTTTCATTCTCTGTCGCTGTTCTTTGCAATAAGCCTTGTGATTCTCTAAGCCAGGGGTCGGCAACTCATTCGACCCCGCGGGAGGGATCGTGTTTATAATGACGGGTCGCGGGCCGGACGAAGGCCATTAATGAAAAATTAAGGAAAATTACATATGCAGACCCACCTGTCAACTTAAATATTTAAAACCATAATGAAAATAAACATTGAGAAATCAGAAAAACAAAAGAAAATCTAAAATTAAAAAACACCTAATAAAATTACTTTTCCTCAAGAACGTCAAAATACTTCAAAGTGAAAAAAATCAACTGAAGTGAAATGGATGAAATTATGACGTGTAGGTTTGAAACTGTTATTGAAAATTGTTCCACAAACAAACCACACACACACACACAAACAAAAACGAAGCACATATACCCATACATACGAGTACAAATAGTTGCAAACATATACACTTACGTACGTACACATGCGGTATCATCCACACATTCATGAGGGCATGTATGTATAATGCGCGTATGTTTAACTGTCTTTAGATTTCTGCTACCTCGCATGTCAGTCCCTCCCTGGCCTCTTTCACTTTATCGTTCCTTTCACTTCTGTTATCTTTTAATGTAGCCAAGGGTCATAACAAATATGTATCCATTATTTGACATTAAACGTAGTCAACGCAACTTGGTAAAATAAGTCTCATGAAAGATAACTGGCAGATAGTCTAATATTTTTAGTGCACTGAGATGTGTAGACATTCTATTGAAAATGACATATAACGAATTTCATTTGAAGGTCGCCTTTCATGTTAAAAATAGAGTCATTGGTAATCAGGCTCGCGGGCTGGTCAAAATGCCTTCGCGGGCCGGATCCGCCCCGCGAGCCGCAGGTTGCCGACTCTTGGTCTATGCCTTCTTTCTTTGTTTCTTCCTTTCAATTTCTTCTGTGAATATCTAAGCTTTCTTTACTAGGTCCATCTTGGATTCAATATATCCTTTGAGTGTTTAAATATTCTTCCCATGTTCCTGTTTTCATTAATTTGCTCTGTGAGTATCTATGAATTCTTTTTCATGTCCCTCTTCTCTTCAAAATGCCCTGCATGTATCTAAGCATTCTTCCTTCTATTCTTGGGGTCAGTATGTCCTGGGAGGGTCTAAAAAATAGTTAAATATTCTTCTCCTGCTAATAGATTTTTTTTTACTCCTGTGGCAGTGGAGACTTCTGGGATTATTGGTCGTCGTTCGATGACGTTCCTTCGGAGGATTGGCTTGATGGCGTCTCGATTAAGGGATGAACCTCGCGAAACGGAGTGGCTCTTGCAGCGTGTCTCACTGGCGATGGTTCGAGGTTATATCTTTCTCCATCATTGTGGCTGGCAGAGGATAGATAAAAAATTGTTTATAGTTACGTCGTTCTGGAATTTGTCATTAGTGGTCAACTGAAATTGTTTTTACATATATATATATATATATATATATATATATATATATATATATATATATATATATATGAAAAAATATGTGGAAAAAAAAACAAAAATCCTTAAAATGCGATTATGTTGTTTTAATATGAATGAAATGTCGACGTCTGACGTTTCGGTTTAATATTTAATTATTTGATATTTTCTTCATTCTGTCGGATTTATATCCATTTATATTTGCTTATCATATATATATATATATAAAAGTGTACATAGAAGTCAACACTTTCATGAAACAGACTGTCGCCTCTAAGTGTTGATTTCTATGTTCACGTTTATATTTACACACGCTCTATCTCTGATATTGAGCACTTTATCCCATAAATGTAATGTTTTCTCCATCATTGCAGCTGTCAGAGGATAGAAAAAAATTGTTTATAGTTACGTTGTTCTGGGATTGTCATCAGTGGTCAACTGAACTTGTTTTGTTTCAATATATAAACTTGATTGATTTTAATATAAATGACTCAAAGTATATTCTCAAATTTAGTTTTCTGAAAACAGATGACTAGATATAGAGAAAATATTTTTATTTGGCATTTTTGGTTGACATTTAAAAGAATTAAAAATGATGAATGAGATTTTTGGTCTTATGCATGCAGGCTATCCAATGAATAAAGAAATTTGAAGAGTGAAAATCTAAGCATTCTTTTTTATGTCACTCTTCCCTTCAGTATGTCCTGTGTATCGAAACCTTCTTCCTTCTATCCATCTTCTGTTCAGTCTGACCTGTGAATGTCTAAACAGTCTTTCCATTACCCTTCTTCTCATCAGTTTTGACCTGTGAGTAGCTAAACCTTCTTTTTTATGTCTCCTTTCTCTTTAATATGTGTGTATCTAAGCATTCTTCCTTCAATCCTTTTTTTGTTTCAAGTATCCGGAGAGCGTTTAAACACACACTCACACACACACACACACACTCTGTGTGTCAGAGTTTGTCTGAAGACCGATAACAGTCCGAATAATGTAAATAATGCAAGTAATCATAATACCTTATCTCAGAGATATAGAAATATATAGAGAGAGACATAGACATAAAGGCCGGAACGTACAACGGCCGAAACGTTGTGAATATGGCAATGAAGATGAGGATAACAGTCCGAATAATGTAAATAATGCAAGTAATCATAATACCTCATCTCAGAGATATAGAGGCCGAAAAGATGTGAATATGGCAATGAAGATGAGGATAACGGTTCGAATAATGTAAATAATGTATGTTATCATAATACCTCATTTCAAAATGTAGACAAATGTTTCATTTTTATTTTTAGTAAGTATCCATTTTGCTTTTATTTTCCATAAAAGATTCCTCGTTGCTCATGTGTTCTGGTCATGGTATCCACAGCATCATTCTTTACAACGACATCATGTCTCTTTTTAAACTGTGAGGAGAGATTGTCCAGCATTCTCTGCTAAATAGGAGGACCAATATGCGAATGATTTTGTGGCCATTATCGTGCTTGCTCATCACTTTTCGTATGTCAGCCATTGTGACATGACAGTGGTGAGATGTAATGTCTATTATTCTTTTAATCATTTTCTTGTTCAAGGCAACAAAGCCACTAAGACAGAAGGGTTTACTGAGCGTGAAAGATTATAGGCAAAAGAAAAACTTTATTAAGGAGGGAGAACAATAAAAGAACAGGAATTAAGAAGACAGAAGATAATTGACATTAAATTTCAATTTTTGAAGATCAAAGTCAATAAAGTCACTAAGATGCAAGGTTTTACTGAATCTTAGAGAATACGAGAAAAATTTCTATTAAGGAGAGAGGACAATAAAAGAACGAGAATTAAGAACATAGAAGATAACGATTAACATTGCATCTAAATTTTTGAAGATCAAAGGCAATAAAGCCACTAAGATGCAAGGTTTTACTGAATGTTAGAGAATATGAGAAAAATTACTACTAAGGAGAGAGGACAATAAAAGAACGAAAATTAAGAAGACAGAATATAACGATTGACATTGTATTTCAATTTTTCAAGATCAAAGGTAATAAAGCCCCTAAGATGCAATGATTATTGAATGTTAGAGAATATGAAAAAACTTACTATTAAGAAGAGAGGACAATGAAGGAACAGGAATTAAGAAGACAAAAGATAACAATTTACATTGCATTTCAATGTTTGAAGATCAAAGGAAATAAAGCCACTAAGATGCAAGGGTTACTGAATATTAGTGAATATGAGAAAAATTACTATTAAAGAGAGAGGTCAATAAAAGAACAGGAATTAAGACAGAAGATAACGATTGACATTGCAATTAAATTTATTAAAATCCAATTTGACTGGAAATCAAGAATCCGAAAAACAGTTTCGCAAAAGGGAAAATGCTAGATAAGAAACATATAACTTGCAACTTACAGTTACAACCAGCCAATTCCTCTGTAAAATGAAGAGACCTAGCCGCCAATCTAGTACTGCGTTTAAATTCATAAAGTCTACCAACAAAGAAGATAATTAATCAGAACAATTATTATGAAATTTATTTATAGAAAATGCGCACAGAATCTACTTTACGGCAGTGAGATAGTGACTGAAGCCGAGATGCTATGTCTGGTCCAATAATATTGCAGATTCTTCTTTGGATTTTATCAAGGTTATACCAGAACGTATGCGGACGGATTGTTAACTGGTAACTTCTACTTTTAAAAAGATTTTTTTAATCATTTCACCTTGCTTGGGATGTATTGATTTTAAGAAAATACCTCACAACAGGCTAAAAAATACAAATAAACCAATCATGTATTCATGTAGTTAATTTCCAGGTGTTCTTGTACTTCGACTATATCCCTAATTGCAACTGACAGCTGTTCGTAGCATAAAATAACATAATCGAAACGATTTACGTGTCTTACCCTTCTCATAAAGCTCGTTTGTAATTAAAATATAGTATTTATTCCTTTTTTTCAGAGCATATTTTAGTCCTATTTTCCAATCAGTGTCTTATTTTTCTTCTTTATTTCAAACCAACTCAAACATTATTAAAAATCTCTTTCAATTCCTTACTAACGAAACAAACGATAGAAGGAAATGAGTGAATCTTTGTCTATATCTCTGAGATGAGAGACATTACTTAAATTATTTATCAGGTCATCCCATATGTTCTGTCCGAATTTTGACTTTTTGTTAAAATGAACGAAATTTAAAGAGTATTTTATAATGTCTAATGGAGCTGAACATTATTTTTAAGTTTAGATTCATTTAAACTGATCAAATTTTATTTAAGAGAACAATAAAATTAAATTTTGTTTGATTAAAACCCTGCTAACATGGAAGTACCCAAGAATCATTTGAGGCACATAATGCTTTATGAGTTCAAGAAACTCAGCAGCCGAAGCGGCTAGAAACATTCACTCAGTTTATGGAGAGGAATGTGTGAATGAAAGAACTTGCAGAAGATGGTTTGCAAAATTCAGAGGTGGAGATTTCACCCTTGAAGATGATGATCCAACCGGACGTCCAGTTGAGTTTGATGAAAAGCTTCTTGAAGCAGCCCTTGAAGAAAATCCTGCTTTATCAGTTGAGGAATTTCAGTTCAAACCATACAACTATTCATCGTCATCTTCAACAACTTGGAAAAGCTCCTAAACTTGGAAAATGGGTGCCTCGTGAATTGTCTGAAAACAACCTCAAATCCCGAGTTGACATCTTCTCTTCTCTCCATTCTCGCCAACTTGTTTCACCTTTTTGGGATAGACTTGTGACTGGCGACGAAAAATGGATCTTTTATCGAAATGTTAAGCGTCGTAGACAGTGGCTTGGTAAAGGGGAAGGACCCCAGCCACAGCCGAGAAGGGAACTTCATGGGCAAATGGTTCTTTTTTTCAATCTGGTGGGATCGCCAAGGAATAATCCACTTTGAATTCTTATCACCTAATACAACAATTAATACTCAAATATACTGTCAGCAATTAGAGCGTTTGAACCAAGCTTTGAGAGAGAAAGAAAAGACCTGCTCTAGTGAATCGAAAAGGGGTGATGTTTCATCAGGACAATTCGCGACCCCACACAGGAAGAATCATGTCGCAAAAGAACTTGGTTGGGAGAAAATTCCTCATCCACCTTATTCTCCTGATCTTGCTCCTTCAGACTACCATTTGTTTCGTAGCTTACAGAATCATTTGGAAGAAACAGCTTTTGTAACACAGGAAGAGGTTAAAACTGACATTTGTGATTTCTTCGAATCAAAGCCAAAAGAATTTTACAGTAATGGAATTAGTAAGCTTGTTTATAGATGGAAGGAAGTCATAGATAATCAGGGAAAATACATTGTTGATTGAATCTGTAATTAAATGTAACATTTGGTCACTTGTTTTCTTTATTCAAAATTCGGACAGAACTTATGGGATGCGAACTGTTGTCCTCATCTTCATTACTATATTCACAACGTTTCGGCCCTTGTACGCTCCGGCTTTCTTCAGGTGATTAGAATCTCGAACCGAACTCTTTATTTTATCCACCGAGGTAGATTGTTCTAGTTCCAAGTGCCATACCTCTTCCGGATGTCTCAGTTATTTCCCTTTAACGGAACTCTCCAAGTTTTGGTTCACCACTGCTTGAGGACACATTGCTTAGTGGATGAAGACGCTGGTTAGATCGAGTGACTAGATCCAAAGAGTTGTGAGTTCAATACCAGGCGACAGCAGTGGTGAACCAAAACTTGGAGAGTTGAGTTAAAGGAAAATAACTGAGGCATCCGGAGGAGGCATGGCGAGTGGAATTAGAACAATCTATCCCGGTGGACGAAATAAAATGTTCGGTTTGAAATTCCAATCACCTAAAACGAAACGTTGTGAATATGACAAAGAAGATGAGGACAAAAATGCGACTAATGTAAGCAATGGATGAATCTGTTATACTGTTGTTTTTTTTTTCAGTTGCTTTCAAACTTACATTGTAATCACAATTTAATACTAGTATTCGCTACTAGAAACCGCCGTATTGAGCTAACTAGAATTTGTTCATCCATTGTAGCTGTGTCGCCTGTCATCCACTATTGAACATTGTATATCAAACCAATGTATCTGTCCTACGATCCTTACTAGAGAGTTTCTACTCTTTCAATTTTTTTTTTTTTTTTTTACTCTCATCTAAGGTTTTATCTGGTTCGTATGCATTGCTCTCTCTGGCCTTGCTGTACTGACCAGAGGATAACCTTTGTTTATAACCATTTCACCCCAAGCAAGGCAATAAAGCCACTAAAACCCAAGGTGTTATTGAGTGTGAGAGAAAAAGACAGTCGGTAGCGACTAACATTGCAATTAAAGTTTTGCAATTCATTTGTTTGTGTTTCAGATAAGAAAATAAAAATTATCAGATATGGTTGATCAAGTGGTTACTTTTCTTTAGCGACATATCAACACGTCTATGGGTTTTTAATGTCGAACTCTAAATATTTAGAACAACTTTATGTCTTCAAATACACATAAAATATATTGTTGGTCATTCTCCGATAAAATGTATTGTAGGTATGTCTATTATAAAATATAGTGTTGGTCATTTTGCTATAAAATTCAGTTTAAAATATCTTTTATTTCTTTAAAATAATCTTTGCGAATTAAGGAAATCAGTTTTAATTCTTCAAAATGTTAAGGAATCGTAGTTAAAATGAGAAATTTCGTGACGTGAAGTTTCGAAATTCCGTAGAGTTTGTAATTTGAAGAACTCAATTGGAATTTCGGCTCAAATCAGATCAAATTGGACTTCTAGACCGAATCAGAATTAAAGTGAGGTTTTGAAGTTCCATGGAGCGAATTGAGGAATTCAAAGTTATTTCTTGAAAAGTATGATTGCTGCTTCCTAACAGCAATGATAATTTTGAAGAAATGACTTTGAATTCCTCAGAGGTCTCTTGACTTTTTTGGCCGGAGCCCCAATTAAGCTTTCGCTGTAGATAGCTTAAAAGTCCGCACGGATAGCAGCTTTTAAGCTAAATGTTATATAAATAGGATACGCTATAAAGTGAAGGCAATACACAAGATACAATGGGTGTATGTGGGGGTATTTTATGGGTCAGATGTGCCACTGTCTCCACCTTGCTGACAATTCTTTTCTCACTGCTCTGTATTTCAAACGTAAGAAAAAGGGTCCACACAGACATCTTTTACTCCCAAAAGCTGATGCTTTGCAGAACAGATTTCCGGATGTCTACATCTCAGAAACCCTACTTTTTTAACCTCTTGACTTAAAGAGGCAATTTTTATCTATCCTTCTTATCCTGATAATTTTCGACTTACGGCTTTGTCACGTTGAAACAGCGGTTCTTGTACGATCACCGAAGTTAAGCAACGTCAAGTCCGGTCAGAACCGCTTTGGAAAAACAGGTGTGTAAGTTTCCTTCCTTACTTACTTACTTCCTTCCTGGCTTCTTTCTTTCCTTCCCACCTTTGCTTCCTCCCTTCCCTCCTTTCCTTCCTTCTTTCTTTCCTCCCTTCCCTCCTTCTTTCCTTCTTTCCTCCCTTCCTTTCTCCTTTCCTTCCTTCATTCCTTCTTTCTTTCATTCTTTCTTTCTTTCTTTCTTTCCTTCCTTCCTACTTTCCTCCCTTCCCTCCTTCTTTCCTTCCTTCCTTCCTTCTTTCTTTCCATCCTTCCTACTTTCCTCCTTCTTTCCTTCCTTCCTTCCTTCCTTTCCTTCCTTCCTTCCTTTCTTCCTTCCTTCCTTCTTTCCTTCTTTCCTCCCTTCCCTCTTTCCTTTCTCCTTTCCTTCTTTCCTTCCTTCTTTCTTTCCTTCTTTCCTTCCTTCCTTCCTTCCCTCTTTCCTCCCTTCCCTCTTTCCTTTCTCCTTTCTTTCCTTCCTTCTTTCCTCCCTTCCTTCTTTCCTTCTTCCCTTCCTTCTTTCCTCCCTTCCCTCTTTCCTCCCTTCCTTCTTTCCTTTCTCCTTTCCTTCCTTACTTCTTTCTTTCTTTCCCTCCTTCCTTCTACTTTTCTACCTTCCCTCTTTCCTTTCTTCTTTCCTTCCTTCCCTCTTTATAATTTTCTTTCTTTCCTTTTTTCCTTATTTTTTGCTTCCATCTTTCCTTCTATCCTTTCTTCTTTCCCTCTTATTTTATTCCTTTCTTCCTTCTTTCCTTCCTTCATTCTTTCCTTCCTTCTTATCTTCTTTACTTTTGCCATTATTCCTTCCATCCCGCCTTCGTTCCCTTCTCTCATCGTTTTTTAACTTTTTCCTTTCTTTCCTTCATCTCTCATTCTTTCCTTCCTACTTTCCTTATCTTCTCCCTCCCTTTTTTATTTCTTTTTTCTTTGGCCGTTTTTTCCTCACTTCTTTTCTTCCCTTCTTTGCACCTTTCCTTCCTTTCTGAACACTCTCTTTCCTTTCAATTTCCTTCCCCTCCTTCCTTCCTTCATTCCCTTTTTCTTTTCCTCGCATCATTCCTTCTTTTCTTCCATCCTTCCTTCTTCCATGTTCTTCTTCCATACATAATGCCTTCCTATTCCTAATTTGCCTTCTCTATTTTTCCTTCCTCCATCCTTTTCTTCCATTCATCCTTCCTTTTTTATTTTCTTCCTACTTTCCTTCGCTGTCTTCTTTTCTTCTTTCATTCCTTCCTTCCTTTCTTTTTTCATTTCCCCCTCCTTTTTTCTTCCTTTTTTTTCCTTCTTTCTTTCCTCCCTTCCTTACTTCATTCCCTTTTTCCTTCCCCTCGCATCATTCCTTCTATCATTCTGCCCTTATCTCCTTGCTTCCGCTTCTTAATCTTCATTTCATTGGTTCTTTTTTTCTTCCTTCTTTCTTTCCGTCTTTCCTTACTGCTTTCCTTTCTTCCTTTTTTTTTTTTGCTTCTTTCCTTCATACTTTCCATCCTTCTTTCCTTCATTCTTTCGTTCCTTCCTTCCTCCTTCCTCCACACTTTTCATCCCTTTATCTCTCCTTTTAGTTTTCTCCCCTAAATCCTTCGTTTACTTTTCCATTCAAACATTTCTTTCTTTCTTTCTTTCTTTCTTTCTTTCTTTCTTTCTTTCAGTCCTCCATTTTCTTTTCTTTTTCCTTCCATTCTTCCTTACCTTTTTCCTTTTTCCTTCCTCCCATCATTCCTTCTTTCCTTTTTTTCTTTATCTTTCTAATCTTCCTTCCCTTGTCTCTTCCTCCTTCTCCAATTCCTTTCGTCACATCTTGATTCTTTCTTTCGTTTATACTCTCTTTCTTTCCTTCATTTTTTCCTTTTCTCTTCATTCATTTCTCTATTCATATCTCCTTTCCTTACCCTCCTTCCTTCTTTCTTTACCCTCCTTCGTTCTTTCTTTACCCTCCTTCCTTCTTTCCTTACCCTCCTTCCTTATGTCCTTGCCCTCCTTCCTTCTTTCCTTAGCCTCCTTCCTACTTTCCTTACCCTTTCCTTTCCTTTTTTCCTTGCCCTCCTTCTTTCTTTCCTTGCCCTCCTTCCTTCTTTCCTTGCCCTCCTTCCTTCTTTCCTTACCCTCCTTCCTTCTTTCCTTGCCCTCCTTCCTTCTTTCCTTACCCTCCTTCCTTCTTTCCTTGCCCTCCTTTCTTTGCTTTCCTTCTTCTTTCCCCTTCCTTCTTCTTTCCTTGCCCTCCTTCCTTTCTTTCCTTGCCCTCCTTCCTTCTTTCCTCTAATCCTCCTTCGTTCTTTCTTTGCCCTCCTTCCTTCTTTCTTACTTCCTTCTTTCTTTCCTTGCTCTTTCCTTGCCTTTCCTTCTTTCCCTCCTTCTTTTTCTTTCCTTGCCTCCTTCCTTCTTTCTTTTCTTTCTTTACCTCCTTCCTTCTTTCCTTTTCCGTTGCCTTTCTTTCTTTCCTTGCCCTCCTTCCTTCTTTCCTTGCCGTCCTTCTTTCTTTCCTTGCCCTCCTTCCTTCTTTCCTTGCCGTCCTTCTTTCTTTCCTTGCCCTCCTTCCTTCTTTCCTTGTCTTCCTTTCCTTGCCCTTTCCTTCTTTCCTCCTTCCTTCTTTTTCCTTGCCCTCCTTCCTTCTTACCTTACCCTCCTTCTTCTTCCTTTCCTTTCCTCTTTCCTTGCCCTCTTTCCTTCTTTCCTTTCCCTCCTTTCTTTACCCTCCTTCCTTCTTTCCTTGTCCTCCTTCCTTCTTTCTTTGCCCTCCTTCCTTCTTTCCTTATCCTACTTCCTTCTTTCCTTGCCCTCCTTCTTTCTTTCCTTACCCTCCTTCCTTCCACTCTGCCTTCCTCTTCATAATCTTCCTTCTCTTCATCTCTCCTTCCTACTTTCCTTTCCTTCCTTCCTTACTCCTTTTCGTTTATCTTTCCTTCTTTCCTTACGTTAGTCTTGTTTTCTTTTAATACTTTGTCTACAAGTCAGAATTTTTTAAAGGAAACAATTGGGTTTAGCGTTCTATAAAGTTTCTGACTGCCAAGTTGGAGGCCATAAAGATCGGTTTGGAGAAAAAACAAAGCTTTACAAAAAATAGAATCAATATATTCCTGCCCATTGAAGGCGCCTGTACGTGTTGGCGAAAGAAATCGTCTTGGAGTAATTCCAATCGAGAAACCTTCATCATCTCTCATGTTGGTAATTCAATTAAATAGTTAAGAAAATAGTAATTTTTTTTTAGAATTTGTGTATATTCTTTTCTGGAAATGAATTCGTAAGGTTTCCATTCGCTCTTGTGGAACTCTATATTAGGATCTTTGGTGTAAATTCTTGTGTAGCACTTGGAATTTCTTCTGGTTTGCCGCCATTAATTGTTTGGATAAAATTAACTTATGTTGTGTGGGTGAAGAAAAAAGAAGATAAATGACAAAGATGAAAATAAGAAATAAAGGGAGTGAGGACAGAAGAAAGAAAGAAAGAAAGAAAGAAAGAACCAAACCAAAAAGAACAATAAAAAGAAAAAGATATACGAAAGAAAGAAAGAAAGAAAGAAAGAAAGAAAGAAAAGGACAATGATTAAAATAAGAAAGAGTGGCAGAAAAGAAAAAAAGAAGCAAGTCAAACAGATTAGAAAGAAAGAAAGAAAGAAAGAAAGAAAGAAAGAAAGAAAGAAAGAAAGAATGGGAAGATGAAAAGAAAGAAAGAAAGAACGAACGAATGGGAAGATGAAAAGAAAGAAACAAAGAAACAAAGAAACAACGAATGGGAAGATGAAAAGAAAGAAAGAAAGAAAGAAAGAAAGAAAGAAAGAAAAGAAAGAAAGATGAAAAAGAAAAGAAAGAAAGAAAAAGAAAGAAAGAAAGAAAGAAAGAAAAGAAAGAATGGGAAGATGTAAAGAAAGAAAGAAAGAAAGAAAGAAAGAAAGAAAGAAAGAAAGAATGGGAAGATGAAAAGAAAGAAAGAAAGAAAGAAAGAAAGAAAGAACGAATGGGAAGATGAAAAGAAAGAAAGAAAGAAAGAAAGAAAGAAAGAAAGAAAGAAAGAAAGAAAGAAAGAAAGAATGGGGGGATGAAAAGAAAGAAAGAAAGAAAGAAAGAAAGAAAGAAAGAAAGAAAGAAAGAAAGAAAGAAAGGGAAGATGAAAGAAAGAAAGAATGGGAAGTTGAAAAGAAAGAAAGAAACAAACAAACAAACAACGAATGGGAAGATGAAAATAAAGAAAGAAAGAAACAAACAAACAACGAATGGGAAGATGAAAAGAAAGAAAGAAAGAAAGAAAGAAAGAAAGAAAGAAAGAAAGAAAGAAAGAAAAGGACAATGAGTAAAGGAAGAAAGAGTGGCTGAAAAGAAAGAAAGCAACATGTCAAGCAGATTAGAAAGAAAGAAAGAAAGAAAGAAAGAAAGAAAGAAAGAAAGAAAGAATGGGAAGATGAAAAGAAAGAAAGAAAGAAAGAAAGAAAGAAAGAAAGAAAGAAAGAAAGAAAGAATGGGAAGATGAAAAGAAAAAAGAAAGAAAGACAGAAAGAATGGGAAGATGAAAAGAAAGAAAGAAAGAAAGAAAGAAAGAAAGAAAGAAAGAAAAGGACAATGTGTAAAGGAAGAAAGAGTGGCTGAAAAGAAAGAAAGCAACATGTCAAACAGATTAGAAAGAAAGAAAGAAAGAAAGAGAAAAAGAAAGAAAGAAAGAAAGAAAGAAAGAAAGAAAAGACGATGACTAGATGAATGGAAGATAGATTTGGAAGAAAGAAACAAAGAACAAAACAAAAATCAAAATAAAGAAAGAAAAAAATGTCAAAATGTTAATCAATGCTTATTCTTTCTTTCAACCATTCCTTTCTTCCATATTTTTGTCTTTCATTCTTTCATCCATTACTTTCTACATTACTTCCGTCCTTTCTTCCCTCCCACCTTTCCTCCTACTAATTTTCTTCCCGCTCACTTCTTCCTTCCTTCCCTCCTTCCCCCATCTTTTCTTCCACGCTTTCTTCCTTACTCCCTATCTTCCTTCCCTTTTCTCTTCTCCCTTCCTTTCTTACATCTTTTACTCCTCCCTTCAATCTTATTCGTAATCTTCCCTCTCTTGTTTCTTCTTTCCCAACGTCTATTCTTCCCTTCTTTCTTGCTTCTGTCCTTTCTTCTTTCCTTCCTGACTTGCTTACTTTTTCTTTTTTTTTTCTTCCTTCCTCCCACACTGCCTTCCTTTTTTCCTTCCTTAAATCTTCCCTTCCTTCATTTCTTCCTCCATTACATCCTCTTCATAATCTTCCTTCTTTTGTCTCTCTATTTATCCCTCGTTCTTTCCTTCGTTCTTTCCTCGCTTCCTTCCTTCCCTTGTCTCTTCTTCCTCCCTCACTTCCTTTCTTCCATTCAACCCTCCTTATTTCTTTCCTTCCTTCCTTGCCACTTTCATTCCCTTGTGTCTTTTTTTTCCTTCCCTAATTCTTTCCTTCCCTCTTGAATTGCCTCCTTCTTTCCCTTCCTTCCCCTGTCTCTTCTTCCTTCCTCACTTCCTTTCTTCCGTTCACCTCTCCTTATTTTCTTCTTTCCTTGCCTTCTTCTTTCCATCTGTCATTCCTTCCGTCCTTCGCTTTTCCCTTCCTTCCCTTGTCTCTTCTTCCTTCCCTACTTCCATTCTTCCGTTCAACTCTTCTTATTTCTCACCATTCTTCCTTCCTTCCGTTTTCCTTCCTTCCCTTCATCCAACCTCTTTTCCTTCCTTCCTTCCTTCCTTCCTTCCTTCCTTCCTTCCTTCCTTCCTTCCTTGTGTCCTTCCTTTTTTTCCTTCCTTCCCTTCATCCATTCTCTTTTTTCCTTTTTTTCTTCCTTGCTTCCTTCCCTTTTTCCTTCCTTTCTTTCTTTCTTTCTTTCTTTCTTTTTCTTTCTTTCTTTTTCTTCTTAACGCCTCTCCTCCCAACCTTCCTTCCCATCTCTCTCTACCGCCTTCCTTCCTTCCTTCATTGCACTTTTCTTTCTCTTTCACTTCTTTCTTTCTTTCTTCCTTCCTTCCTTCCTTCCTTCCTTCCTTCCTTCCTTCCTTCCTGTGTCGTTTACACCTGTTTATCTGATCTCATCTTTGCATGTTTCACGCCTGTTAAAGTCAAGGGACTGAAGCGCTTTCTGTTTCAAAATGAGTACCAGTCACGTGAACAAAATGGCTGCCATTACACCAGACACAACCCAATAGTTTCTTTTTGGTTTCATTCTTTTTTCGCTTATCGCCTCCGTTCGCCATTTTTTACTCATTTTTTTTTCTTGTGTGGGGAAATTACCAATAAAATCGACAAACGTAAACAAGTAAGTAATCAGTTCCCTGGTGTTGAGCGCTCTTGAGATTGGGACATTAGCAGAAGAGACAGTTGCGGCGTCGTATTATCTTCTACAGAACGTGACACTGCACTTGATGACTGAAGCACGCGTCACTCCAGCTGCCCGTTGGAATGAGCCAATCACAACCTGGCACGTGGGCATTGCAATAGGGGTGGCAAGTTGTGTCAGCAAAGATTTTTTTTTACATTTCCCATATTCTTTGTCTTTCTTTTATTCTTTCTTTCTTTCTTTCTTTCTTTTGTTCACGCTACTAGTGTTTCTTCTTTCTTTCTTACTTTCGATTTTCCTTTTTCTTTCGCTATTTCTTGCTTTCTTTCTTTCATACTTTCTATCTTATTTTTCTTCTTTCTTTCTTTCTTTCTTTCTTTCTTTCTTTCACATTTCTTGCATTCTTTCATTATTTCTTACTCTCCAACCTTCTTTCTTTTTTTCGTTCTTTTTTAACAGCTTTCTTTTGTAGATTTTCTTATGATCTTTCGTTCTTACATTCTATATTGCACTTTTCTTTCTCTTTTACTTTCTTTCTTTCTTCTTTTCTTCCTTTCCACCCCTTCTTTCTTTACCTATTCATTGTCCATCTCTTTCTTTCTTTCTTTCTTTTTCCTTTCTTTCTTTCTTTCTTTCTTTCCATTCCTCCTTATTTTCTTTCTTTCTTTCTATCTTTCTTTCTTTCTTTCTTTCTTTCTTTCTTTGCAGCCATCCTTTCTTAACGTATTCTTCCTTCACTTTCTTTTTATTCTTTCTTTCTTTCCTTCCTTCTTTCTTTCTTTCTTTTCGTTCTTTCTTTCTTTCTTTCTTTCTATCTTTCTTTCTTTCCAGCCGTACTTTTTTCCTTCGCTTTCTTTCTTTTTTTTCTTTCATTCTTTCTTTATCTCTATCTGTCCTTTTTTCCTATATTAATTGTTCTACTCTTTCTTTCTTTCTTTATTTATTTACTTTTCCAACGGTTCTTAATTTACCTATTTTATATCCTTTCTTCTTTCTTTCTTTCTTTCTTTCTATTCTTCTTTCTATTCTTCTTTCTTTCTTTCTTTCTTTCTTTCAAGGCGTTTTTCTTCGTCCATTTGTTGTCCTCCTCTTTCTATCACTCTTTCTTTATTTGTTTCTTCCTTCCTTGCTTCTTTCTCTCTTTCTTTCATTCTTTCTTTCATTCTTTCTTTCCAGCCGTCCTTTCTTCACCCGTTAATTCTCCTCTTTCTTTCTTTCTTTCTTTCTTTCTTTCTTTCTTTCTTTCTTTCTTTCTTTCAAGCCGTCCTTTCTTCACCTATTCATTACCCTTCTCTTCATTTTCTTTCTTTCTTACCGTCTTTCATTAATTCCTTCTTTCTTTCTTTCCATTAATCCTTTCTTCAATTCTTCATTGTTCTTATCTTTCTTTCTTTCATTTTCTCTAAATTTCCTTCCTTCTTTCTTTATTTCCAGCCGTTCTTTCCTCTCATATTCATTGTCCTTCGTCTTTCTTTCTTTCTTTCTTTCTTTCTTTCTTTCTTATTTGTTTGCTTCTTCTTTCTGACATTATATCGTACCTTCTTTCTTTCT